TCTCATTCCTTTCTCACCCCTCTCCTCTTCCCCCCCCTTCTCTCTCTCTCATCATCTATCAATCAATATCAACTATCAATCATTATCTATTCTAGACAGAGGAACTTTTCAAGGTGAGGTCCAGAGGCAGCCAAAACGGCTGTTGTTTGGACAGATTCATAGGCCAGTGCTAAGCCATAATATGTTAAATCAAGTTAGCAGGGTATTCAAACTTGGGTCAGCTAATGCTGGCAGGAGAATCCTGGGAGTTGAAGTCCACCCTTCTTAAAGTGACCAGATTTAAAGGGCTCACTTGGTGTTTTCCCAGTTCTTTTCTGGCTTAGGGTGACCTTTGGGTCGTTTTTCAACAAACCATGGTTTATCAAGATTGAGGATCCTCAAGTTTGAGGATTGCCCCATAGGACTTTCCCACCAACTATCCCTCCTGAAAAGTCCCATAACCTTAACACCTTCACAGTCACAGAGTTATTTATTATTTTATTTATTTCATCAAGCATGAATTAGATAGCAGATATAAGTATGGACATGATTATGAATACATGTAAATGGATACGAATAAAAATAAAACATTAGGGCAGGGACGGTAGGCACGCTGTTGGAAGGGACCTTAGAGGTCATCTAGCCCAACCCCCTTTGCAATGGCGGGCGCTGCTTGCTACAGAGCGGAAAGCACGTGGTTTCAAATCCCCCCCCCCCGCCTTTCATTTAATTTCATTATTTATTTTCCATTGCCAACGTGCGTCCGGACTCCGAAGCTCGAGAAACGAGGTGCCGGGCTCCCATTGGCTGAGCCGCGCAGAGTGGGCGGGCCAGAACTCCGTCCGTGTGGCTAAAATATTTTTCTCCCCGCTCCTCGTTGAGCCTCCCACGTGATCCGCACCTCTCCCCCCGCTCTTCCCTGGGAAAAGTAGTTTCCCCCTCCGGCTCCTCCCTCCGCCTTCCCTTGCCGAGGGACTGCATTTCCCAAGAGGCAAAGCTCCAGCTCTTCTTTTTCTTTTTGTTCCCCCGCCCCGCCCCCAGGTATCCCTTTTTTTTTTTCCCCGCCTCCCGCCGAGATGGCTGGAGTTTGTAGTTTGTGCGAGAGGAGGCGCCCGTTGCCCGGCGTGCCTCGGCTCCCTCTCGCCGGACTCCGTTTCCCGTCAGCCCTCGGGAGGCGGCTCCCAAAACCTGCCTCCGAGCCCCCCGCCGAGCCCCGCCCTCCGCTGCCCCTTTCGGCGGAGACATTTGCGAAGCCTTTTTCCAAGATGGCGGCCTGGGGAAGGAGGCGCGCGGGGCCCGGCAGCTCCAGCGGCGGCGGAGGCGCCGCCAGGGAGAGGTGAGTCCCGCCGGGCAAGACGGGCCTCCTCGGTCCTTGGAGCAGGGCCTGGTGGGGCAGAGGAGGCGGCTCCGGGGGGGCCTGCGAGCCCCCTCCCCGCTTGGGAGGCCAAAGGCTGAGGGCTAGTGTGGGGGGGTGTTAAAGGGGGAGCAAGGACTACAACCCCCATCGTCCCCAGCGCGGCCGGAACGCCCACGCCGATTCTCCCCCGTCCCTCTCCAGGCCTTTGAGACCTACCCCACCCCCAAAAAGCCTTCCATTGGATTGCACGTCCTGATTAAATGGGGGAGGGGGTCCAGGAGTGTCCCCCCCCACCCCCTGTTGAGCTGCCAGGGCTTTTGAAGCTGGAAGTGTTTAGGGTGGGCGGTTAAACCAGACCTGTGGGGGGGGGCAGGAGGGAGAGAGGAAGGGATGTGGGGGTTAAACCAGCCTTATGGAGGGGGGGAGGAAAGAAGGAATGGGGAGGGGGTTTAAACCAGCTTGGGGAGGGCAGGACGGAGGGATGG